AGAGCTTAGATACTTCTAATCAATTTTTAATTTTCCAAAGATTATATAATTATATAAAATCTCAATCAATTTTTATATTTCCAAAGAGCTTATATAATTCCCAATCAATTTTTATTTAATTTCTTATCAGATTTTATATTTTTAAAGAGATTATAGAATTCGCAATTCGATTTTATATTTTTCAAAGGATTTATATAATTCTCAATTCATTTTTATACTTTCTAAAGAGTTATATAATTTTTGAATAGTTTTTATTTTCCTAAAAGATTATATAATTCCTAAATATTTTTTATATTTTCTGGTGATCTTGCGTATATCCCATAGAGCTTATTATATAGACAATTTTTTTAATTTTCCAAAGAGTTTAAATTTTATCCGTGTATGTTAATATATTATGTCGAAGAGTGTATGTATTTCCCAAATAGTACATATATTAGCTATAGATGCTAATCTATATTCCAAAGATTGTATATACTTTTCATGAATATATATATATGTAATATATGCCATAGAGTGTATACTGTATGTAACGGTACACGCCGAGACGCGTCACCGTTCTGTGTAGAAATGTAACGCAGATGACTTTAGGTAATCAGACACGGTTTATTTCTGTATAAAATTAAAGTATAATTACAAATTAGGGAAATGGTTTACGGATCCGAGACCGTACAAACGGACTATAAGTTCGAGACCATTTTACAATTTAGGAATGTTTGTCGTTTTGTACAATTAAGGGTGGAAGTAAGGATTGCCATGTCCGGCCCGCTCAAGCAAGTGGCGTTCGTTCGTGGGTCTGTCCGGGTAAGCATGGCTAGGCAGGCGCGCTTAGGGCGACTAATTTATTTGTCACTTTCCGGTTTGGCAGGGCTCGTCTCTTTCTTGGTGACTGATTCCGGAGCTCGCTGTGAGTGTCCTTGTGTCGCACGGCTCGGCGGAAATATCTCGCAACTGCCGTCGACGTTCGTTGGTCGGGTTGTCGTTCTCGTAATGAGACGATGTGTCTATAGCACATATTGCCGGTGATCAAACCGGGGTCATGGAGCTGTTGATCGTAACGTCGAAGGCGTTCGTCAGGAGTCACGAAGATTTGCTGATGTTCGGGTTACGGACCGAACGGTGTCGGACTAGGGGTAGAAATGATCGCTTGTCGCTTGTTGGCCGCCGCACTAGTGTCAGTCGTTGTTTGGATGCGATGACTGGTCTGGTTTCGCCGTAATCCCAATATTCCGTGATCGTTTCGTTGATTCAGCAGCTCGATGTTTGTGGTGGCTCGTAGGTCACTTCGGTAGTTTCTCCTTTACTTCTGTCCGTTGTATGTGTGCAGTAATGCAAGACTTAATGGCTTGAAGTGTAGAGATTGTGTCATCTTTTGGTCTGTCAGTGTACCCGTATTTATACAGTTTGACCGACATTTGTATACGTCCTATTGAATTTGACCGACCTGTTTGACGAGTGAACGTGATATCGTTCGTCGAGTCGCCAGATACCAACCGTGTTTTTTTGCCTATCACTTGTTTATTTATTCAATCATATTTTGGCCGTGAGAACGGCCATTTTAGTATGTGTATTGTTTGTGCCGTATTATATACCATATAGTATGTATGCATTCTTACAAATATAAATGCCAATGAATTTATTTATTTCCCATAGAGTTTATACATATGCCAAATAGTCAAATAGTGCAGCGATTCCCAAACTTTTTAAGTTCACGCCACCCTAAAAATTAAAAAAAATAATTGCGCCTCCCATAAAAAATTAAATTACAAATTTATAGTATTTAAATATACAAACACTTTTATTTTTATGAAAATATAAGTTAACAGTAAATATTATTAAACTTCAATTTAAAGTATTACAAAATACAATACGTATTAATATTTAAACTTAATGCGAACAATGTGCTTGTTTTCTGTTTAATAATTCTTCAAAATTAGGTAACAATGTTGTGACAGTCACACGCATTTCTTTTTCAATATTAAGTTTTGATCGATATTTTGATTTCAATACAGCAACTGCAGAAAAACCTGCTTCGCATAAATACGATGTCACACTATTTAATAGTGTATATATTTTCTATAGATGCGAAACTATATTTGCCAGAGAGTATATATATTAGCCATAGATGAAAATATATGTCATAGGATGTTTATATAATTATACATATTATTATATCAAACATAAAAGATAAAAAAAGATTGGTAAAAAAAATTTCATATTCTTAAATGGAGGGCTGGTGTGACGTCAGGCTAACCCCCTGAAGAGTTTTTGATATATCTTAGACGCTTTAGTTGTACAAATTCAGTGCCATTTCGTAAAAATTCGTATCGTAAAATGACGTACAAAATGATAGAATAATATAATTTCCATATTTTTAAAAAGAAGGCTGGCGTGACGTACGAAATCATGACCCTCCACAAAGATAACTATATTATCGTCTACTGTTGCGCCGTTGGAAAAACTCATAATAAATATGGGTTATTCAAATATTCTCTTTTCACTTACTAGGCTTCAATTTTCAATAAGAATTGTTTTTGCTATGACAATAAACGATGCACAGAGACAAAAGTTGGATGGAGTAGGGTGTATTTGCCCCAACTTGTATTTAGTCGTGGTCAACTTTATGTAGCCATGTTTATAATTAAATCTTTTGAAAAATTAAAAATACAAAAAAAAATTAAATTAAATTAATATAGTTTTTAAAGAAATTCTATAATAATAATACACAAATACATTCAAATTTTCATTTAAATGTCAATTTATTTGTGTTGGGTGAAATATTCCAGTTTTTCCATATAAATATATTATGCGTACATTTATAAAGTTAATTTAAACTTAAGAACTTCAATTAATTTCCATTTTATGTTTTTCTTAAACATTATTATTGTTGTATTATTATAAGTATATATGCATTGTTCATATATATATGTATATAATTATTCAACAATCTTATTTTTTTACTGTTAACCCGGAAGCGACGGGTAATATAGCTAGTAATTAATTTAAATAATGTTATTACTGTTTATTGGATCGTACACATTATAATATATATAAACATAAATTGATCTCAATACATTAAAAATCAGCTCAATTTTTTAGTTGTATACCTCTTACACCAATGGAGCATATTACAAATAAAGAATTATGGTCCTAATCATAATCTATGCTGATATACATTTAAATATTAGAAAACTTTATCATTTATATCAAAATTTATTTATTATGGTAGAATTCAAAAGAAGAAATGTTCATTATCGTAATCGATACTTAATAAAATTATAAACAACATTCCTAGCTAACCAAAATATAAATTGTACGATTCATATATTATATCGAAATTAAAACAGAATTTCACAAAAGAAAATAGATATAACTACTAACTACTTTTATAATATATTTACTTACATTATTTATTTAACCATTTATATTTCTTATTATTTTGTCATTTTTTTCTAATTGTGATATGATATAACGTCGTGTTTGTACTTATTGGCAGATGGCAATTGTAGACCACAAACAGGACAGCCAAGTCAACCACAAGCTGGATCGCCTCTGGACTCAAATATTGGCAATAACAATAACAATATCAACAATAATAACAGCGCAATACCTCGACGGGGTTGGCGGGGGGAATGGCGGCGAACGGATCCAGGCACGGTGTACAGTTCCATTTGGAAAAGCAGTGATCAGCCTCTTGGTGAGTTTGTAGAAACAAATATGTGTTACATCAATATAATATAGGGCTTTATTTAGTTTATAATAGTAGGTTTCTTTTAGATAGAGTGATTCACAAAACATATAAACCCTCTTTTTTTTCTTAAATACCTAACGTAAGAGCATGCTCGGTGTATCCTCTTGTACCTATAACATAATATTATCGCAACGATTATATTTATGTAGGAACTTAATTCATTTAACAGGTCCCGAATATTTGCATATAACTCTAAATATGTGTCAAGTATGAAATATCATATAGCATTCACCTATTTTCAATTAATATTAATTTCTTAATGGATCTCAGCAATAACGGGTAATTATGTCATCGATATAAACAAATGCCAGAATTTATTTCTCTTTAGCCTTTTTGCATAATTACCACTTACTTAAATAAAGGTCCAAAAGAGCTTTAAAAGTTCTATGCTTTACAAAATGAAATGTAAAACAGTGAATAACTTCTGACAAATAATTTTTTTCAAATTTATTTATAATGAAAACACCCGCAAGGATTCAAGTACAATAAGGTAATACAATCGTATCTTAAAACGAATAAAATCATTATTAAAATAATATAGTACAAAACAAGAGTAAGTATTAGCCAAGTTAGTTAGTAATTTAAGTCAAAGTAAAACATAATAAAAGAAGCTAGATCCTTAAAATGCAAATCACATGATATAATATATATATATATATATACAATATACATTAAACCGCTGAAAACAAAGGTTTAAATAATACAAATTTTTCATATCAAATAAATCGAAATTGTTTATCTCGTTACATTTTTTGGCTATATTATGAATGTAATTATTGTAATCATAGAATGTACGACGGAATATACTCTATATCTATCATCAAACTATATTTTAGCTAACATGTCTCTAATATATATATCTACCTATATACTATTTTGTTATTAAATTTATTAAGTTATGATTACTTTATTCTCCGTAATTTTCGTCTTGGAGTGTATCGACTTTACAAATATATATAAAATAAATAAATAATGTGTGTTTCACTCAACGGCACACGGTGAATAACGGCTAGTAATGGAACTGGACAACTCTAAAGGTACAGTGGTAGCGTTCATTGATGTCAGCTATGAATAAAAAATTGAGGGGCGAAGGCTGTGAATAAAACAAGAACTGAACGGAAACACGCATATTATATTATACATGTATGCAATAGGTTCGCATATTTATTTATAATAGTATAATATATATATATAAGCCGCTCACCTCGCACCCGGATATACACACGTGTAAATATATTATATATAACTACTGGCACAACACACTTCGCTGCTATATTATAACATATATACGATTATTAATATGCATAATATTATTATACTTATTATTAACTAGTTGAAATATTAATATTTGTGTATAGTACGTGAGTGTTTTGCATTTGGAAACTACTTAAATCGTGTACTTTAAATATATATACAAACCAAACCCTTTGAAAAAGACGATTATATTATTATTATTATATAAAGCTTAACTGCTTTATAATATTAAATTAATATGCAGAACGAATCATCGAACGTGCTCAACAATATATTTTTCTATTTAATAACGATTTAATTTAAATTATGATTTTTGGAATGTTAAAATATTGTACTTAAAGACTATATTTTTAAATTTTCGAAAAAATGTTGAACTACTTAAACAGTGTCCTGAAGAAACACAAACTTCTGGTTTTTTTTTTTTAATGATCACTTATTTTAGTGTTAATTATTTAGTTTATTTACAGAAATATAATATTAGTTTAATGTTTTATTGAGTCATTATAGAATTTATTATACTTAAATATTGTTTTTTAATAATTAATTTGAACTACCTATTTAAATATGCAATGCATCATAACTTTCATATAGTAATATATTCCAAAACCATTATCATTAAAAAAAAAAAAAAACAAAACAAAACCAGAAGTTTTTATCGCCTTAAGTCGAAGAAAAAATCCCAAGAATTTTAAAACATGGCTTTAAACTAAAAGTATATTTAAAGGTTCTAAGAATCAGATTTTGAATAGCTGCAATATTGAAGAAAACAGGGAGTGTGTATGCTTGATGAATCACCAGAATAAATTAAATACGTATTATATTTATCACCAATTTTATGAGACGAGTCAATACACGATAATATTATAATATTTAACATGAATAACATGATACCTATATTCTTATTTTATGTTAATAATGGAATATGAGCGCCGGCTTGACTTATTAATTTTATATTACTGTTGTCTGAATGTTCACGTACGCCGATTAAATTCAACCGGAAAGATAATATTATAACATTATATATACTTGTATTATACAGAGAATGGCTGACCGTATTTTCCAGTTTTCTCGTTCAATTCACTAAACCACGGCGATCCATCCTGTTGATGTAAAGTATATAATATTATGTATTATAGTAATTTATTCATACGAAACGTCTATACGAATATTATACGAGTATAAGTATGCAAGAAACTTACCGTAAGTTGTCGATTGTACACTAATTCCCAAAAAACTTGCATTGATAATCCCTATTAATTAAAAAATAGCAGGATCTTATACAGTGGTCAATTCAAAGTAGAATTTAATCAGTATGATAAATTTAAATCATAATTTTTTAATGAGTTATAAAACTTGTAAAATGGTGGCAAAATATATTAAATTTACAATCATTGATCGTGATACTATACCTAAATAATACATATCAATTATAGGTACTGATGTCTATAGGGGTAAGCTATTTTTCTAAATAAATTTGATATTTCACAAAATACAAAGTAATTTCGAGCAATAAAAAAAGCAATAAATTTAATTTAATACAAATTTAAATATTCTTCTTGTGTATATAAATATATATCAATGGTACATATAATACAGGCAGAATAAATAGCAGGAACTTAAATAATTCAATAATATTTAAATTTATAAGCAATTATAAATTCTAATACAAATAATATTTAATATTAAAATATTACTTTTTTTAAATCAACAATGTTTGCTATATAATATTAAAATCAAGACAAATTAAAAACGTGAAAAAATATATTTAAATTATTACCTATTTGTTTTCGGGCTGTTACAAGATATTAAAATGTAAATGTTGCCTTTTCCCTTTAATTTTAATTATTTTATATTAAACGAAAAAACTTAGCGTTCTTGTAGAATTAAGACAATTATGTTAGTATAAAAATTAAAACTCATCGTCATCTTGTACATCCACTAATAAAACAGTTAATATTTGGAGAGTTTAGAAAATAATCAATAATATTAATATAAATACATCACATGTTTATATACTTTCTGTTATTAAATTTTAATAATATTTATATTTTATAGAATATTATTAACGATATTATATAACTGATCATCGGTGATAAAATTCCCATAAAACCAACAAATCTTATTGACTTGTGAGTAGTTGTAGCCAATTATTTTTCAGATACTGAGTAGTGGAAACTACCAACAGTGCCTTTCTTTTAGGAGCCACAAATTTAAATGACTATGTCCAAGGTACAATTTACTTGTATACAGTGCCAGCCCGCTGGTTTTCGGAGCCCAGTGCAGATTTTTGTGGGGCCCCATATAAATAAATAAATAAATTATTTATAAATATTTATATTTATTTTTTTTTTCTTAGGGACTTACCGTCATCGATCGTCAATGACGATAAAACAATTTTACAAATGCATGCGTGTAACTGTATAGCTAATATATATAATTCACGTTCTACTGAGACAATATTATTTTGTTTATTTATATATTAAAGTGGTGTCCGTATTAAATAATTTGTGTTCCCCCCTCCCCCCACAAGCATGGGACTCGGTGCAGTCGCACCGCGTGCCCTCCCTTCCCTAAGACTGGTGCTGCTTATATAGTTTCTTTAGGGAAAAGTAATTGAAACTGAAGTACCATACGTAGTACCGCATGAATAAAAATGGCTGGAGCCCATAAGCGAAGTAAATTTTACAAAAATAAATTATATTTCATTAGAATTATAGTTATTATTAATTGAGCACGCCTCTCGACACCAACCGATTTAAGTGGATATATTTGGTATACAATTTAAAATATTTCACTTGGATTTCCAACATGCTTTAATTAAAAATAAAACGACTAATGATAAAGTTATATTATAATATATACAGTTTTAAAGCTACTAAATTATCAAAAATCTTATTAATGTAAGTTTGTACTCTATATACTGTTTAGTTATCATAAATGATTTTCGACCGCTATCGTTATATGTTACAATAAAATATGATACAATAACAATCAACTTCAACTGAACTCGATCATTGTTGTTTTTGAAACACAAAAACACTAAAAAAAGAAATACTCGTATACCCGCGTATTTGAGAACTAAATATTATAAACGTCAAATTTTAAACTGAAACTTATAATGCAATGAATTGTATTATATTATCAAGTAATAAAATTTATTTTTGTGTTTTTGGGCAATTGAAAAAAAATTGACGATTTACGCTCTTGGGTATCACCGATAAAAATATTTTGTGAATCTGTTTAACATGTATTGTGTGCAAATTTACGGTGTTCAAAAAATATTTTGTACGGAGTTAAGGTGAAATTTTACAAAATTGCTACGATGTATTGAAGAATCTTATTTTGTGATGTTTGGTCGGATTTGGTGTACCATAGATCTCACAATTAAAAATATTACCTTATGTAAATATTTACTAAGACACTATTCTATAAGGTACAAATAACCAATAAGTAATCTTATATTATGAAATTAAAAGATTGTATAACAAATATAATACACGTCTATATACTTATTTAAACATTTCTATGCAAACATTTAAAGAATATGAATAATTATTCTTGATTTGACAGATCTGAAAATTTTTTTTTCAAACGTATATAATTTACAATAGCGAAATAATTGTTAATTGATATATTAAAAAAATAATATTTAAAATATCCAATAGTAGAAACTATATGAAATGATTTATGAC